TCTTTCGGCAACATTTGAATTTGGTGCCATCTGCATGAATTACCGAACATAAAAATAAATACAATAAAATAAGAGAGGGGACATATTGGGTATCTGGGTGGGACGGAGCCAGCAACAGAGGGTCTCTGAAGGTGCAGGTACAAGTGACCAGGTGAGTCAGATGGAGGCCACCCTGCTCTGACCCACCCCAACCTCCAAAGAACTGTGACTTCCCCGAGAGCTCATTCTTGGTCAAAACCTGAGACTCTGAACCCAGAACTCTCAAGCAACACAGCCCTTCAGAATCACAGCAAAGGAGCGCATGGCTTCTGCCAGCGCTGGTGGTGTGAGGGCCAACGCCGGGCGCCCTATCCAGCGGCACCACTTATTTCCCTGCTGGCCGTCGATGAGCTATTCCTCCACGACAGGGACAGGGTAAGCAGAACTCCAGAAAGCCTGCATCCTAGCCTCAAGCAGCTGCCGTGGCCCCACCAGCAGGCCGGGGAGGGGTGGGGGGACCGCAGGCTTTGCAAACGGCCACCCTGCCACCGCCAGCTGCACAGCCCTGAGCAAGTCACTCGACCGCTCCGACCCTCACTCTTCTCACCTTCGAAGCATGTAGATCACCACTTTCTAAGGATCGTGGATGCTTTCCATAAAAACATCTAAATCCCTGTCACCATCCCTAAAAATAACCCAGCACCTCCTGCCAATGTTTCCCTCTAAAATGTCAGTGCATCTTCACGTTGGAATGTGTTATGGGTTGAACTGTCCCCCCCGCCGTCCTGCCTAAAGATATGCTGAGTCCTAAGCCCTGGAACCTGTGAATGAACTTATTTGGAAATTGGGTCTATATGGATATAATTAGTTAGGATGAGGTCATGATGGAGTAGGGTGGCCCCCGAATCCAATCTGACTGATGTCCCTATCAGAAAAGGAGATCCGGAGACACGGGCACAGAAGAGAGATGGTGTGAAAACAGGCACGGGGGAAGGCCGTGTGACCGCAGAAGCTGGAGTTACGCAGCTGCGAGCAAGGGACACCACGGATCACCAGCAACCATGAGGAGGCAGGAAGAGAGGCACAGTCTCCCTCTGAGTCCCCAAGAGGGAACCACGCCTGTGGACACCCTGATTTTGGATTTCTGGTCTCTGGAATAAATTTCTGTTGTTGTAAGCCACCCAGTTTGCAGTACTTTGTCACAGCAGCTCTAGGGAATGAATACAGGTTACCTGGTTTTACTATTCATCTAGCACTTGAATTCTCTTGCCCAGTGGTCAGTGTGCCAGCCTGTTTGTCTCTAGCAAAATAAAACTAAGTATCTACCAAAGCAGTAATTCCTTCCATCTTTGAAAAGGCCTGTCATAAGCATCATTCATTCAGCAAGCATTTATGGAGTACCTGCTACATGGCAGGCACTGTTTTGTGCCCTGTTGATACAGTGGCAATGGGAAACAGATAACAATAGCGTTCTCAAACAAATAAGGTCATTTCTGACATTGTGATGAAGAAAATAAAACACTTTAACATGACAGAATGAGAGGAGAAAGGCACATTACTTTGATTATTAGGGAAGGTCTCACGAAGGATGTGGTATTGGAGCAGTGACCGGAATGACAGGGAGCTGGCCATGGGGAACAGTGGCAGGAGGAATAGCCAGTGCAAAGGCCCTGAGGCAGAGTGATCTCCCAATGCTCAAGGCACAGAAAGAAGGGGGCCCTTTGTGAGTGAGAAGGCAGTAGGTGATGGAGCTGGAGAAGCAGGCCAGGGCAGCCAGCGCCTGCACGGCCACCAGCGGAGACCAAGGTAGGGAGTCTGAGCCTCACCCCGAGAGTACTGGGAAGCTGCTGGGGAGAGACGTGACTTGACTCACAGTTTTTAAATGGTCACTGTGGTGTGATCAAGTTCTTAAAACTAAAGTCTTTATAACCTGTCCTTTGGTTCTTGGGCTGTACAGAATGAGCTTAACAAGTGACAGTCCTGAACTTTGTCATCAGGGCTCCCAGGACTCTCCAGGCTCAACCAGGTTTAATTCATTCACCACTGTAACAGTTTCCAAAGGATGTGCTTGATGTTTCCCTATGCCTTTCATTAAATGTGATGTCCAGAAAGGAATGCGATGTTCTAAGCACAGAGTAGACTGCAGCTCTCACCTTTCTCATCCCAGGCCCCCGCTTCTGGCGTACCCCAGGGTGGCTCTGAGCTTCAGTTCTGTTTTATGCCACTGACCTGCTGAAACATCTATCAGGCAACCTCCCCCTGGAAGTCCTTTTTGTGATGCCCAGATCTAGAAAATGGGACAAAAGCCTGTTCTTCCCTAATGAGAACATCTTTGCCCTGTTTGAAAAACAAAAGTGTCACCACAACCCACACAATGCCACATATAAAAAACTGATTAAAATAAACAAAACTAAGGTCAACCCTTTAGGTTTCACAACCACTGCATTTCTCTTCCGGGCGGGGGACAAGGAAAACTATTATAGCAAGTTTCTCTTGCCCTCTTGCATCACCCATCTGAAGACACCTAGACTATTTGGAAACACAGAACACTTGAGCAAGAGACACTCTTTGCAATCGTACTTCCTGCTAGATTTCTCAAAGACCCATAAACAAATCTGAGTCCACGAAGACTACCGCAAGCTTGGAGTGGGCCAAGCCAGGCTGACTCAGTGAGCCCGCACGCTGGGGAGACGAGGGTGCTCTTCAAGGCCCTGGGAAAGCCTCGGGGCCCTCGCATGAGGGGCAATCCGCTGGGATCCAACCACATCCCATTCTGCAGGGCAGTGTGGGCTAGTACACCTAGTGTCACACAGCAGGGCTTGACGCTTCCCTTCCCCCCTCCCCTCGCCCACCGGCTAAGTGCCCCTTGCAAGTCTCTCAGCCTCAGTTTCCTCACCTGTGACACGGGAATGATAACACCACCCATTGCTCCCAAGTTGATCCTGAGGATCAATTAAGAGCCTATGTGTGAACGCACTTTGTATTCTTGGAACAGAATTTTTCTCCTCCCTTTCCTGCTGCTGGTTGACTTTTCCTGACTTTTTTTTCAATCTCCCCAAGATGCTTTTGGTGTTTCTTTTAACCTGATTATTTTCAATTTTCAGGAGAAAGCGGGAGAATGCGGGGGAGGGGGAGAGAGAAGCATGCGGCATGATTCACCCCACGATAAACCTTTCCTAAGGACTGTCCTAAAAGAAGCCCCCTCAGAGCCATTTGGGGGAACCATAAATCAATTTACCTTTTTTTTTTGAGACAGAGTCTCGCTTTGTTGTCCAGGCTAGAGTGAGTGCCGTGGCGTCAGCCTACCACAGCAACCTCAAACTCCTGGGCTCAGCGATCTTCTGCCTCAGCCTCCCGAGTAGCTGGGACTACAGGCACGCGCCACCATGCCCGGCTAATTTATATATATATATATCAGTTGGCCAATTAAATTTCTTTCTATTTATAGTAGAGACGGGGTCTGGCTCTTGCTCAGGCTGGTTTTGAACTCCTGACCTTGAGCAATCGCCCGCCTCGGCCTCCCAAGAGCTAGGATTACAGGCGTGAGCCACCGTGCCCGGCCTCAATTTACCTTTGACGAAACAAAGTTACTGTCATAAAAAAGACCACGTCTAAAATCTGTGTTAGTCCTCCCTTTCTGGAATCTGTAGCAGATTTAAGGTTTGTGATTTACTCACGTCACTGAGTGCCCTCATTGCCTTTAGTTGACATCCCCACCATATAATAACCCAAGCAATCTCGCATTAGCTGACACATCCACACACAAGACAGACACTGCAGGAGAAAACATCAGAATGTGACGCGGGAAAGGCTTAAAGAATAAACCTCTCACAAGAGTGCCTACGTACCAGTCCAAAGCCATCCTCATTTTTTCTTTTTAATAAAAGGAAAATCTCACGAGTCAACTTTGTCATTGTGAGCCAATCTCCATACCCTTTCGTCACGCGCCTCAGAGGCGTAAGCAATCCTATTTCTGAACAAAGTGGAAATAAAAACAAGTGACAGCCAAAGGGAGACACTCTGAACAATGGGGAGCATACACTTCCGGCGGAAACGTGGGAAAGCTAGGTGCGAGTACAACCCGAGAGGCTTTTCCTTCTTCCTCTGCGTCACCGACTTGGACACCTGGGCTGCCCTGCTCCTAGGGTTGGGGAGGGGGCCGCCTCTGATCCATGAACTGGAACGTGGCACCAGGTCGCGGCCTGGCCACGGCAGCCTGGCCCTGACAGCTGTCAGCCTGCCTCTAACACTGACTCACCGCAGCCACAGCCTCCACGTCAGGGCGCCTCACCTGTGCCAGCTCGCAGGCGAGGTCCTGCCCGCTCCGCAGGTTGGCACTACACGCCCGGCACCTGCCGGGAGGAGAGGAGGAGGAGGAGAGAGGCCGCGCCGTGCCCACTGCAAAGTGTTTTTCCCCTTCCCCTTTCCCTCGCCCCAGACCACTCGACCGCACCCTGGAAGGAAGGGGTGGCCGTGCACCCCGCTCCGGGAAGACTAAAAGACCCGTCCTGTCTGCCGAAGATCGCGAGACGGCTCCCACCGCCTGCCCGGCTGCCTGGCCGCGCCTCCTGCGGCTGCATGCACGCCGCCGTCCCCGCCTCGCGCGCCCGGGCCCGCGCGAGCAGGGCGCGTGCCGCCGGGGGACTGAGGGGCCGGCCGGGGCCTCGCCCGCACCGCCGCCCGCCCGCACGCGCCTCCCACCCGGCCCCGCGCCCCTCCCCAGCCCGGGGCCTCTCTGGAGAAGCCAGCTCCATCCCAGAGCCACCTGGGGACAGCATCTGGCGACATCTGCCACCCGGGACACCTCGCGCGGGCGGCCGCGCCCGGCTCCCCCAGCGCCGCGCCGCCATCCCCTCAGCCCCCTCAGACGCGGACCCCGCGGACCGGCGTCCTGTCGCCCCGGCCCTTCCCGGCGCCCCCACCTGTCACCCCTGCGGACCCCCGAGCGCCCCGTGCCGGTCCCCGCCGTCCCTCCGTGAGCCCCGCAGGCGAGCCCGAGGCCGCCTCAACGCCCCTCTCACCGCGGCGGCCGGGCAGCGAGCGGGTGCCGTCCGGCTCGGCGGCTGAGGCGACTGCGCCGCCCGGGAGCAGCCGGGTCCTTCCGAAGCGCCGCGGCACGAGATGTCAGTCAGCCAGCTGTGCCCGCCCCCCCCCGCCCCTGTCTGCGCAGGCGCGAGACGGGCCCCGCCCACTCGGGGGGCCGATGGCGTCACGTGATGGGGCGGAGCCTGCTCGCGGGAGGCTGCCCCGCCCCGTGGGAGCGCGCTGGCCCGGCTGAGCCCTAGGTGTTCCCGCGCTCCCGGGTCCTCCTGGTGGGGGCGGGGCAGGCCTTTCTGCACGCGAAGCGGTGGGCTACTGGGTGATGGGGGGCCGGGCGGAGCTCCGGCACGGAGCCGGGAAACCCTGGTTCGGGTTGTCTCGCGGTGCTGGGTGTCCCACCTTTAAAGCAGGCGAGCCCCTTCCCCCCCGCAGGGTCCCGGAGCCCTGCGGGTCGCACTGGCCACCGAGCCTGTGAAGTCCGTCCGGCGAGGGTGCACAGGCGGGCACTCTGAGCTCGGTTTATGTTTTGAAAGGGGGCGACTTAAAGCCTGGTCGATTGCACTTATGCAGCTGCAGAGTTCTAGGCCTGTCTGCATCTTTTCAGCAAACACAATGAACGCAACGCTCGGGCCCTTTATTTCTCCTACATCTCTTCAATTAAAAAAAATTATAATAAGATTAAATAGAAGCGCCGCCTATGGAAGCTTTTTTAGTTCCAGAGTAAGAAACTGACAGCCTCTCTCCAATGACTTTGGGGTTATGTCAGACTAGGTTCCAGTACCTAGGAAAGTGGAGGGTCTGATTCAGGAGTGTGGGCTCTGACACCGCACGTCTATAGGTGTTTGCACAGCTACAGCCCAGCGCTTGGTGCTCCCGGTGGCTGCTTAAATGAAATATTAAAGCCTTGTCTTTAAAGAAATGCAGTGAGATTTGAAATAGGGCTGAATGTTGATTTTTAGAAAACAGTGGGTTTTCTGAAGTCATGAGATTTATGCAGGAGGAACTGGAGTTCTGCCACTTAAAAGAGAAAAACTGACATATGGAGGGATGATCATGTATCTGTCCCTTGCCCCAAGCAGAGCTGCTGGTCCCTGGAAAGATGACCTATTGAACTGCAGACTTACTTGGAAAAGTTTAAGGGAACACACGAAGAAAAAGCTGGGAGCTGCAGCTCCATGAGGATTATGGGGCATATTCTATAGCATGCCCTATAGCTGCTTCTGGTCCTCTCCAGATCTGCTCGACCAACTGAGCCTGGCCATGATGCCTGAGAAGCTGGAACTCAGGGTGTTTCAGCTTGGCGTGAATTCAGGAAGGGGAGACAGGTCCTGTAGCCTTCATTCCCTTATGTGGATGCTACAGATATAACGCTGTTGGTCTCCGCAGGGTTCTGAGTGCAGCAGAATACAAGTGCTGTCTTGCAGAATTTACAGGATGGAGCAGGAGGGAGCAGGATGGATGCTGCAGCTGGAGGAAATCCTCCCTGGTTGGGTGAGCGAGCCTGTCACAAAGCGCTGGCTTGTGCAGCCCTGACGTGACCTTGGCAACAACAACTGTTCAGGAAAGTTGAAAAAAAATGTGAGCTTATTCAGAGTCAGCTTCCGTTTTGAGGAAATAGCATTTCTCCCAAGCATTCATGCAGACCCTCTATCCACCTCATGAAAGGTCTGCTGGCCTAGCTAGAAGGTTGGAGAGAGGCAGATGACATGGCCATTTTTTAAAAAACGGGAAGAAAGTTCTGCAAACCACAGACCAGTCAGTGAACTTGACACTGGGCCTGGGAAATATTCAGAACAGATGACTCACGAAAAAATATTTGTGACCCCTCAGAAGAGGAAGCACCAGGCTGGTGCGGTGGCTCACACCTGTAATCCTAGCACTCTGGGAGGCCCCGGTGGGAGGATCGCTCGAGGTCAGGAGTTCGAGACCAGCCTGAGCAAGAGTGAGACCCCCGTCTCTACTAAAAATAGAAAGAAATTAGCTGGACAACTAAAAACATATAGAAAAAATGAGCCAGGCATGGTGGTGCATGCCTGTAGTCCCACATACTGGTGAGGCTGAGGCAGGAGGATCACTTGAGCACAGGAGTGTGAGGTTGCTGTGAGCTAGGCTGACACCATGGCACTCTAGCCAGGACAACAGAGCAAGACTCTGTCTCTAAATAAAAAAAAAAAAAAAAAGAAGAAGAAGAGGAAGCACCAGTGATGAAGATCAAGCCATGCTAGGTTAACCTTATTTTCTGCTGTGGACTGTATAGACTGATAAGTCAAGGAAATATGGTGGAAATAGTGTGTCTGGACCTGCAAGATACATTTATCAGGATTCTTTTCAGTTATAAGGGACAGAAACTCAATTCAATTTTTCAGAAACTCATTTTTTTTTTTTAAAAAAACAAGGGAATATGTTGGTTTCCATAACCAAAGTTTTGGGGTTGGCCCGGCAGGATTCAGGGGTGCAAATGTTGTCTTCAGAACTTGGTCTCTCTCCCCCTGAGTTGGCTTCGTTCTCAGACTAGATTCTTTTTATAGGGTGGCCTCCAACGGCTCCAGACTTATATTGGCTCAGTTTAGCAGCCCTCGTGGAGAAAAGGATTCTCTCTCCCAATACTTCTAACAAAAGTCTAGGGTTTGGTCTGAATGGACGAATGCTTCTCATGTGCTCACCCCCTTGGAGCAACCTCTGAGGCCAGGTTGTTGCAATGACTGTTTCGGCCAGATGTACACAGGAGGGAAGGTCAGCCCCACCCACACCACTTGGGTGGAGAGCAAGAGAACGGTGGTTCCCCCAGGAAACTGAGGTGCTCTTGCCAGGAAAGAGGGGTAGATTCTGGGCGGGCAGGGAAAAGCCACAGATATCTAGGGCAAAGCACTCACTAACATATCTCACTCTGGGAGGCTGAGGCAGGTGGATTACTCGAAGTCAGGAGTTCGAAACCAGCCTGAGCAAGAGTGAGACCCCGTCTCTACTATAAATAGAAAGAAATTATTGGTCAACTAATATATGTAGAAAAAATTAGCCGGGCATGGTGGCGCATGCCTGTAGTCCCAGCTACCCGGGAGGCTGAGGCAGGAGGATCGCTTGAGCCCAGGAGTTGGAGGTTGCTGTGAGCTAGGCTGACGCCACGGCATCACTCTAGCCTGGGCAACAATGTGAGACTCTGTCTCAAAAACAACAAAAAAAAATTTGACCAGCCTGGGCAACATAGTGAGACTGTGTCTCTACAAAAAAATTTAAAAATTAGGTCGAGCGTGGTGGCTCACACCTGTAATCCTAGCACTCTGGGAGGCCGGGGTGGAAGGATCGCTTGAGCTCAGTTGGAGACCAGGCTGAGCAAGAGTGAGACCCTGTCTGCACAAAAAATAGAAAAATTAGCCAGTGTGGTGGTATGCATCTGTGATTCCACCTACTCGGGAGGCTGAGGCAGGAGAATCACTTGAGCCCAGGAGCTGGAGGTTGCTGTGAGCTGTGATGACACCACTGCACTCTAGCCCAGGCAACAGAGTGACACCCTATCTCAAAAACAAAAAAACCCACAGATGTATTATTATCTTACAATTCTGGAGGTCAAGTTCCAAAACTGAGCGGGTCAGCAGGGCTATGCTCCTCTGGCGGCTCTAGAGAATTGTTTCCTTGCCTTTTCCAGGATCAAGAGGGCTCCTCCATTCCCTGGCTCGGGGCCCCTTCCTTCCCCCATCTTCAAAGCCATTCTCTTATACTCTGGAATAGTTCGTTCTTCAGCTTTTCTTTGTCCTTTAAGACATTGCTATTTATTAAGAGTACAGGCCATTTGTTTTGTAGGATGTCTCTCAATGTAGATTTTTCTGATTGTTCCTTCATTATTAGAGGAACTTTGACACTATTTAAATAGCCCATGTCCCAGTGAACTTTCACCTGATGGTTTAGCATCCGTTACTGATAACAGTATGGTGGTTGCAAAATGTTGAGTTTTCCAGTTCTCTTGCTCCGTGTACAGTCATTAGCTGACACTCCCCATATATCTATCCTTGCCTTTCTCCAGTCTGTTCTCCACACAGTAGCTACAGTGACCTTTAAAAACCACAAATGTGATCCAACCCTTCAGTGGCTTCCCTCTGCCCCTCAGATGAGCTGCCACCCTTCATCTGGTCACAAGGGCCCTGCATGACCTGTCTCCTTCCAACCAATTGTGGTTTAAGTTTGCATTTCCCTGATAGCTAAGGAAAATTAGCACTTTTTCATGTTTTGGATATTGTCTTTTGTACAGTATGTTTGACTGTTTTGCCAGTTGTTCTATTGAAGACGAGAGATAAGCAGGCAGGGCAGCCAGCGCCTGCCACGGCCACCAGCGAGACAAAGGTAGGGAGTCTGAGCCTCACCGTCGAGAGTACTGGGAAGCTGCTGGGGAGAGACGTGACTTGACTCACAGTTTTTAAATGTCACTGTGGTGTGATCAAGTTCTTAAAACTAAAGTCTTTATAACCTGTCCTTTGTTCTTGGGCTGTACAGAATGAGCTTAACAAGTGACAGTCCTGAACTTTGTCATCAGGGCTCCAGGACTCTCCAGGCTCAACCAGGTTTAATTCATTCACCACTGTAACAGTTTCCAAAGGATGTGCTTGATGTTTCCCTATGCCTTTCATTAAATGTGATGTCCAGAAAGGAATGCGATGTCTAAGCACAGAGTAGACTGCAGCTCTCACTTTTCTCATCCCAGGCCCCGCTTTGCTGGCGTACCCCAGGGTGGCTCTGAGCTTCAGTTCTGTTTTATGCCCTGACCTGCTGAAACATCTATCAGGCAACCTCCCCTGGAAGTCCTTTTTGTGATGCCCAGATCTAGAAAATGGGAAAAAGCCTGTTCTTCCTAATGAGAACATCTTTGCCCTGTTTGAAAACAAAAGTGTCACCACAACCACACAATGCCACATATAAAAAACTGATTAAAATAAACAAAACTAAGGGTCAACCCTTTAGGTTTCACAACCACTGCATTTCTCTTCCGGGCGGGGGACAAGGAAAACTATTATAGCAAGTTTCTCTTGCCCTCTTGCATCACCCATCTGAAGACACCTAGACTATTTGGAAAACAGAACGCTTGAGCAAAGACAC